GTGTGTGTGTGTGTGTGTGTGTGTGTGTGTGTGTGTGTGTGTACACAGGAGCTGCGGACAGACAGCAGCAGCTGTAACTCACACAGAACAAATGGGGTCAGGGGATGCCAAAACTGTACTGACTGGAAAGCCAGGTCAAAGGTCGCAGAGGCAGCAAACGCATCCGACAGCTCGGAGGGTGTCGCTCGCAGTGACGTCTATTTCTGAACGGGATGAGCCCGGGCAGCTCGGACAATGATAACAACTGACTCAAGTAAAGGCGCTGGTGTGCAAACATTCGGTGAGTGAACGTTCAGAGAAACAGTCACAAAAACTCACACGTTCGCTTCCTGTCTCTCGTGAGTTTCAACCTCAGATCATCTTTCATTTCATGTACAGATGAATCAGTGTGTGCAATGCATGCTGGGATTAGTCTGTGGTGTACTTTCTGTTGTTCCCTTTTTTTCCCCTCAGCTCGAGTTTGTACACCGTCCACGATTAATCTGCTGCAGAGCTCAGGTTTTAACGGAGGTTTCTGGTTTCATGGTCCCCAGCGGGAGGTCCAGGACTAAAGTGACGATTGTGCTGAAAATGTGGTGAAAACTGGGAACTGAACGAACACGTCCTGCGATTTCAACGCTTTGTTATTTTTGGTCTCGCTCAGGAACGTGACGACCTGATCACCAGGACGTCGTTACCGTTTCTTCCAACGTGACATGAGAAGCTCTCGGTTTACTTCTTCGTTAAAGTTACTTCATTGTCATGATAAAATAATAACTCAGCTCGGTCAACGCTGGGACACGAACATGGTTAAAATAATAAGTCCTTGGTTACACCTTGGAACTCCTATAGATCGCAGGCACGCATGCGTGAATGTGTGTGTGTTGTGTGTGTGTGTGTGTGTGCACACAACGCCTGTGTGTCTGCTGCGGCGCTGCTCCATGTTTCTGCGCGGAGTTTGTCTTGGATTACGGCCATCAATAATAATAACCATCCATTGTTCACAAGCTGCCTGAAGAGCGAGGAGCTGTGACCAGTGTGGTTTCTCTATCCTCATTCAGGGAGAGAGAGAGAAGGGGTGGGGGTAGAGAGAGAGGGAGAGAGAGAAGGGGAGGGGGGAGAGAGAGAGGAAGAGAGAAGGGGAGGGGGGAGAGAGAGAAGAGGGGAGGTTCCTAATAAGGACTTGAGACCCCCTGAGGATCACAAGATGTTTTCCAGACATCGTTCTTGTTACCATGAAAAACAAAGTGGTCATCTTCTTCGTCCCGACGTCACTTTGACAGATGAGCGACAGCGTCACGTGCAGGTGACGACCGAAGCTACATCCAGACGACTATGTTCTGCCGGTGCAATCAGATTACTGGAACAACATCTGGTCTCCTCCACGTGTAACAAGTGGTTTCATTGTCAAATACAGAACTGAACTGATCCGCAGCTGTTCGCTAAGACGACCGGGTCAGCAACACTTGGATCAGTGGAGGCCACACGAGCAAACAGACCCAATCACAAGAGGTTGTGAACGTCTGCTTCATCTTCCGTTCATCCAGACGGACGTTTTTCTAACCAGACGTGTGGACGTATCTGCAGCAGACTGGACGTGTTTTAAAACACACATGTAGTCGTGTAAATGAAGCCACAGTTTCATCCCACTGCGACGTCACCCACTGGTTTGTGAGCTGCACCGAAAGAATCAGAGCAGATGTTCCACATGTGCACAGAAGCAACATGAGCGTGAGTAGAAGAACTGAAGCTGGAGCAAAGGGAATCGAAGCACAGGAGGGGTAAGTGCGAGCGCAGGCTGCCGAGTGGAAGCTTTATAAAAGTCCGGATCGTATACGTCCACCACTGAACTGCACAACAGATCCGGACATGACGTCTGCTCCAGAACGCAGCACATAATTTATCAAGTGTAGTTCTCAGTTTAAAAACCCTCGACCAACCGATCACCTGTAAACATTAAAAACGACGAAAATACATTCAAATAAAGATTTTTTTTAAAAAATTCAAATTCCACGTTAAAAAGAAAAAAAAAAATTCAGGTAAATAAAATTGCACCAAAACCTATAATGTTAAAAAGATGAACTTTTGCCCTTTCGAGTCATAAAGGAAACGGGTCTCACGTTTAACCCCCCGACCGTCAGCGTGTAGCGATTAAAGACTTTATGTTCCTACAACAGAGAGAAAGTACCGGTGTGCAAAAGTGGAGGAGCGTGGAGACGACGCAGGGTCGCGAGCCGGCGTCCTCACATCAGACTCTGATGCGGAACATGCCCTGGCTCAGCTGAAGGCGGAACAGTCGACAGTTGGCGATGCGTAGGGCGGCGCAGGCCGTCTTGGAGAGGTCGCTGGCTAACATGGGCTTGGTGCGATGCCACGTCCCGGTGCTGCGGCGGAACTCGCGGATGTAGTCGAAGTTTGTGCCTGAGGACGCAGGAAAAAAACACAGACAGACATTCAGAGGTTGCTGTGACAGAGCGCTGCTGATTCACGCTGGTGGTTAACTCACCAGTGTCCAGGTCTCCCACCACATAGACGCTTGCACCGATGGGCACGGCCCCGTAGACGAAGGACGAGCTGGTCTGGATGCACAGACTTTGGTCGTCGAGTAACATCCACCTGCATCAGTCACAACAACACAGATCAGATGAATCCAGACTTTGAATCATATGAACGACACTCTAACTCTCATGAGGTGTCAGGACGTTCGTGTAAAACATAACTTCACTGTATTTATATCAGTTTCCTGTGAAAACAGATATTCTTGGTCTGCTCACTATTTTGTGCTACAACTTTAAGAAACCGTGTCATCGTGTCAAGAGCTCCAACACATCTCCTTGATGGATCTTGAGTCACTTCACTGAAGTGTCCGAGGTCCAGAACGAGCTCTGACCCTCAACATGTCGACGATGCAGAGAAACTCAAACTCAAACCTTCTCATGTCGTCGTGGTAGAACTCAGATTTGCAGGTCGTCATCTGCCTCTGCTCGGGGTTGTCAGGCTCTTGGCTTCTCACGCCGCCAAACACGTAGAGCTCCTGTCCGACGCCACACGCCACCGAACCAAACCTGACGGGACAATATCAAAGAATTGAACAGGCTTGTGAGAACCAGTGGATGCAGATATCTGTGAATGGTGGGATCAGCTCATCATGGTAAAGTTCACAGACATGTTGCTGCAAATTAGGAGATCCAGCTTCTCAAAGCCGGGACGGGGGCTCGTCCTGGAGACTGAAACGTAACGTTTAGCTGCTTGAACACAAAGGCAGGAGAGTTCAAAGCCCTGATAACATCCAGGATGCTAGTGTGCATGTAAACACAGTCCATGACTCACAATCATTCACAGTGTGACTCAACAACTTCCGTTTGAGCAACTTCATCATCCTGAGCAACACCCTGACGTGTCGGTCTGACTGTGGTGTCATTTGTGGGAAGTCACAACAAAAGAGAAACGCGTACAGAGAGGCGGAGAGATCAGTCAAGCAGTTTGAAACTACATCTTCACTGATATCGACTGATGAAATCACGGCTCCTCTTTGTCGTGCTGCTCATAACGATCACTGGCTGTGTTTACCTCCTCTCTTTCAGAGGACAGAGGCCGGTCCACTGCTGAGTTTTGGGGTCAAAAGATTCGACAGAGTCAAACAGCTTCCCGTAGGAGCCCCCTCCCATGGCGTAGATTTTCTTATTCATGGAGGCGTAGCAGCCGACCTGCAGGGGGAGACAGACCGATGTCACAGTGTGTGGCCTGAGGTTCATACTTTTGATTTCACACTTTAAAGTGTTCACGACGAATGACACGAGTGTGTGCTTCACCTTGCGGATCATGGTCATGCTGGTCTGCAACTTCCACGTATTGAAGTGAGGGTCAAACGCTTCGACGGTGATCAGCTCCGTTTCCTTGTTCTCTCCTCCCAGGACGTAGATCAGGCCGTCCAGCTCCACCACGCCAAAGTTCTGACGAGCCTGCACAGGTCAGTGACATGACGATCAGACTATAGCCACGTCCCACATGTTCAAATAATAACTTTCCTGAATTTGTCACATTTTTGTCGACGATCACCAGTTTTTCTTTTCGCCTGTAGGATCGTTGTATGAAGTAGACGACTCTCTGGTTGTTGCCTTGTCAAACTTTAGATTCTCCTGACCCTCACTCTCATGACGGAATCATCTCGCTCTCATGAACGTCTCGCACGACTCAACAAATGTGACGCTTTATACGGACGGTCATATTTTCTTCTTGGCATGTTTATGACATAAAAAGATTTAAAGAAAAACCATCCAACAATCGTTTCCACGTGTCGATGGTGTCTCGCTGCGTAGAATTAAAACCTCATGGGAAGATTCACATCCTGAAATAGACGAGGTCTGTTTACGACGTCAACATCTCTGCTCAGTGTGGCGGATGCTGACAATGTTCTTCATCATCATTTCAACAAAGGTCAAATAAACGTAATGGCAGGATGTGGTCTGGGTCAGGATAGAACTCATTATGTTGTGGTGCAGATTATTATTTTTTTTTACCTTCTTCAACTTTGTGAGATGTTTTATTTTCTCAGAGAAAAATTCAAGGACGTCTTTTTGCAAATAGCAAAGAGAGCGTGTGCGTAAGATTTGATCTCATGTGGTCGGTGGAGACTCATTTTAATACCTGGTGAATTACACCACAGTTCTATTTACTTCTCTGCACATTTTCTCTGCGTGGGTAATAATGTCATTGTCACAGGATTACCACAGCCGGTGGAAAGTCCCAAAACCAATTAACAAAAAATATTTTACACTTAATACTAATACTTAAAAAACATACTGGATGGTCATCTTTACATGCATGATGGGAGATGTCACTCAGTTAGTGACCATTGGATGTCCAGTATCTTTCATGATGCATTATGGGTAACACTGAGAGCACTACAGAGTGAGCAGTGACTCAAATCTTCCACATGAAACTGCCATTGCATCAATACTGACACCTAGTGGTGTTTGAATGAGATGTAAAAAGCTCAAACTGTAACATGGCTGCAGCAAAGTGTTTCTTGTGATGAGCTGCTAATTAACAGCAGCACATTTTAATTTCTAAAAGAAGAAATGAGTAAACATCAAATATTTAATATGTAAGAAAACAAGTGATAGAAATACAGTATTGCCAAGTTTTAAAAATCTTCATCTATCAGTAAATAATAATGTTTGGTAACAGAAAGAGGTGAAGATACCTGAAGCATCGGGGGTATGGGGCTCCAGGTGTTGGAGTCAGGGTCGTACTTCTCTCCAGAGTCCAGGACTGTGTTGTGCTCATCTGTTCCGCCCATCACGAACAGAAATCCCTCTGACGGACGAAAAACATCATCATCATCACCGACCGCTAAACAGGAAGTATCTTAGTTCTACCTGATTCAGGACGGGAGGTGAGTTTTCTGACCGGCAGTAACCACCCCGTGGCCGAGGCGGGCGACGCTCATGGCCTGCAGCTCGATCCAGGCCTGTCTGTTGCTGTCGTAGAGCGGACACATGCAGCGCGTCGTGGCGGTCGGCTTCCTGCTTCTGTTCGGGACGAAAACCATCAGTGCGAACAGGATGTCGATGAGGAGGACTGCAGCACCAGTTTGTGACATTTCAAAGTAAAATCCTTTTCTCTGACAGTGATTCACACGAAAATCAAAGATCACTCTGCATTAAAACTGTTCCTAATGATCATTCTGAGAATATAATCTGTAAATAATAAACAATACTTAGTTCTCATGGGGAAGTTTTTATGGACAATAAATTTCACTGCTAAACTTAAGAGGTTATGATAATAATAATAATTATAATGAATCAGAACAGAAATATAAACGATATAAACAGATGAACTCACTTGCGATCCTCTCCTCCGGCGAGGACGATACACTCGGAGTAACCTCTGGGTTTGAAGGCGGCGAGTATAGCCTCACCCTGCGGCTGAACGTCCCCCAGCACGGCCTGACAGTGCTCTCTGATCACCTCCCTCATCAGAGGCTCCCCCAAGGCCTGATGGGATACCATGCAACACGCGGAGGTAAGTTAATGTGAGACACTTTGTGATACTGTTGATAGCATTACGAAGCACGTTCCACCTCTTCACACAGAACCAACAGAGTTAATCACAGGTGGCTGCAGGGGGCGCTGTTGCTCAGTGAAGGTTACATGCTGTTGCTTCAAATGTGCAGCTCACTGTACCTGCTCTCTCAGGTAGCTCTGGTCCAGAGCCTGCAGCCAAACTGAAGACATCACTTCCTTCATGTGAACCTACAAAGAAATAAAATCTGAATCACTTTGGGTTTTATGGATCAAACAGACCTGAACTCAAACAGTCATCATTCTACCCTGAGATACAAAACTCCATTATTAGATTCTCTGTTTGTTTTGAGTCGTCTTCTTCATCAGCGTGAACTTCAAATCCACATAAATGTGAAGGTCTGATTTTAATCAGCCAAATCTGCAGCGTCATACACAGTTTACAAAAAACATATGACGATGAGACAACTAACGAACAAACCTTTTAGTTAACAAAACTCTAATGACCACGACCTGTTGTATCTTTAATTAACTCAACATCAACGTCACTCAGTGTTTAAACTAACTTAGCTGTGATTTGACTGACTGCTCTGATGAGATCGTCCAGCAATGTCTGTTTTTTATGAAAGCAAATTTTGATGTTGAAAAATATTCCCATTTAGAGTTTGGTTTCAGTCCTTCAGTATTTCTAATCAGCAAAACTCACCCGTCTGCATTTTTCACCGTCTCTCCCTACATCTCACTGCATCCCTGCACCTGAACTGTACTCCCGTAACTCACCCTGCGATCCTCTGGGTCATGTGCGAACCACCGCACCACAGCCTCCAGCACGTGCTTTTCGTTGCCCACGTTCAGCTTTTCCATGGCGAGCACCTCGCCGAGCCGGTCCCGGGGCAGCTCCCTGAACTCCTCGGTGAGCACCACATCACGGAAATGCGTCTGCAGGAACTCGGTGGCGGCGTAGTGGACGTGGTAGAGGCAGTAGTGCAGAGAGAAGAGTCGGATGCCGATGCAGTTCTCGGCGGTGATGCAGCTCTCTAAGAACTGACAGCACAGCGACTTGAGGTCGGTCATGAGGAGCAGGTCGGACGCCTGCACCATGTCCTGGATGGTCTCTTCACTCAGAGTGATCTGTGGGTGTACGACACACACACACACACACACACACACACAGGGTGAGGATGGGCAGGAAACAATTCGTACGACACCTAAAACACGTCACCTTTAGTTTTTTTAAAAACTCCACACTCACTTCACCACTGAAGATGTAGTCGAGGATCTGTTTCATGGTTGCCATGGAGACTCCCTGCAGCTCGATTCTGTACGTAGACCCATCTTCCTTTGGGGGG